GGGGGGGGGGGGGGGGGGGGGGGGGGGGGGGGGGGGGGGGGGAGGGCAGAGATGGAGACACGGAATAGACGGAAAGACAGGGAGACAGACAGACAGGCAGGCAGAGAGGACAGGATGAAGGAAACAAGGCGATCCATCGATGTTTTTTTTTGTTATTTTTCTTTTTCAAACCAACACACAGCAAATGGCCACGGCTCGACGCTGACTCTAGTCTGTATCGGTGCGAATGCGTTGCTTTTGCCCGCAATTGTCTCCGTCGTGCGAAAAGGAGCAAACTCAAACGTAGACTGTGGTTACAAGTTGAAGGAAGGCGGCGTTTTCTTCTTCGTTTTTGTCCAATTTTGGATTATCTCTTCAATTGTGGTTTCCTTTCTTTGTGTGGTGTGTGGAGGTTCCCATTCAATAAAAAGGGTGCAAGTGATCCCACCGGAGGGGACTCATGAGTGAGAGCACACTGCCGTCATCAAGGAGTGTGATGCAAGACGAAATTCAGTAAAGGGTGCAATCTCCCCGAAGTCGGTCTGTCGAGGAATGACTGCGATTCGCGCTTTTTCACTTGCGTGCATATGTATGTGGTTTGTTTTTGTGGCGCTGCTGCAGGTGTGCGGCACTCTTGTGTCCGTGGCGAAAGACGGGGTGCTGAGCAAGGCCGCATTCGACAAGTGCATCCGGGGGATGGTGCCGGCCTCGCTGCTGGACACGGAGGAAAAGACCTCCTTCTCGGTGCTGCTGAGCAGCATCTTCTTCAGCTTCGACCGGGACAACACGTAAGCCTTGTTTATTGTGTACTGTATCGAAGTATGTGTATCGTGTTGTTGTTCGAGACCGAGCGTTTCGTCTTTTTCATCACGGACTACAATCACAAGCAAGCTGGAGAACCGTAGCTAGAATCACAGGTAGCGGTCCGAAAGCGCTATGACTTCAGTACGAATATATCCTATTCACTCTTGGTTCTGTAGACCCTTAATGGATAGAGATGGATTATTGTGTTGTACGAAGAACAATAAAAATATATATGCCGTCAAATTCGGGCCACCAGACGGGCAAGAAAGACACCGACAGAAATGTTGCCCGCAAGACTTGAAGTCATGCTCGCACTGACCGTTTATCTCTCGCTCTTGCTGTTCTGCACACACACTCCTCCCACGGGCAGTTCTTCTGCCGACGCGATTGAGTTGGCGTCCGGATTCTCGCTCCTGTGCGCGGGGTCTAAGGTAAGCAGACAGACCTTTCCACCCAAACGAAGGTTATTTTGTGGGTTGATCCTATCATTTTTTCTGCATAGTTCGAGCGGAACAAGCTGCTGCTGCTGCTGCTCCTTCTCCTGCAGCTTTTGTTAAATATGTGTCAACTTCGTGAGTTTGTTAGCCCGCCTCCTCCTCCGCACTCCACCCTACGTGTACCTTGGTTTGGTTTGGGCAACGTACGGTATTTACTGTGTAGGTTTGTGGACTTGACCATAACGACCAAGGCCAAAACCGGAAGGGCTCTTGGGTGGTCAAGTCTTGGGCTTGATCATTCCAGGAACGGCGCTATACAGTTGAGAGAGGGCTACGCGATGGTTCGTTGGGTGGGTTCGACGCTTCGAGCAAATGGATTTTCAACGGAAATTCTGTGCAAAAAACGGAACAGGAAGCAGAGAGTTTCCACCGATGCATATGCAAAAAGCGGCCATCATCACGTACGAGGTGTTCCGTCCTTTTTTTGTGTGGTACTGCTGTACCCTTTCCCTTACGAACCTGCTTGTTTGCAGTCGGACAATCTCACGGATAACGTAAACAAAATTGGAATTTGAAGCAAGGTCTCGACCGGTGCATGTGCACGAAAAAAATGACCATCATGTGCGAGGTATTCCAGCTATTTAGGTAGTATCATATCCTACTGCTGTACCTTTTCCCGCCCTGTACTGCTGTACTAGTTACCTTTTTCCGAACGGTGCTGATGTACCTTTTCCCGTACGGTACTGCTGTACCTCTTTCCGAACGGTACTGCTCCTGTACCTTTTTCCGAACTGTATACCTCTGTTATTTTTGTTTTGTTTTATTTTGATCGGTGTCCGAGGGCTCTTTTCTCGAACGGTCGGTGCGATATCTGTTCTTTTCTTTCTATCATTTTGTTTTCTTTTTCCGAGTGGTTTGTACCCTTTTTTTGTTTATGTTTTGTTTTCTCGCGGCGTCGTATGTGCCGGGTTTTGAGACCACGGGCTCCCCATTTTTTGTGGACTATAGAGCTAATGTGAGAAACAACAACAACAACAACAACAAACATTGTTGCCGAACGAACGAACGAACGAACGTGTTCCCTTCTTTGCAGTCGGCCAAGCTCGCGTTCGCGTTCGGGCTCCACGACGAGGACGGCGACGAGAGGCTCACTCGACGGGGGCTCTGGCGCTACACCCGCTCCTTCCTCACCGCCCTCATGGCCCTGAGCTTCGCGTCGTCCAGCCTGTCCGCCGAGGAGCTGACGAGGGCGGTCGACGACGGGGCGGTCTGGACGAGCGCGGCCATCTTCGCGGAGACGGCGACGCAGACCCCTAACCGGATCGGCTTCGACGAGTTCGCCGCCTGGTGAGGGAGAGAGGAGTGGTGCTGCTGCTGGTAGTGGTGTTTGGCTGCCGCCGCTTTTGGTGCTGCTGCTGCTGGTGCTGTGGGTGGTAGGGCGTGGTGATGTTGCTACTGCCACTGCTGTTGGTGGTGATGCCGCTGTGGCCTCGTTTTGTCGCGCGTGTAAGGCCGTGGTTTTGGCTCTATTCTTGGCTCGTTTATTAAGAAATGTCGTGCGCAGCGAGGCTGTTTTGTTTTTTTTTTCCGGCGGGCGGGCAGTCGCTGTGTAGGCTGGAAAACGAAGGCAAGGAAGCCGCCGAAATGAAATTGCTTCTCGACAAGGGCAGGACACTCATCGCAAGAAGTAATCAGAAAACCTGTCACGCCTAGTTAACAACTGAGCAACTCGAGTCGACCACGTGATCTTTATCTCCACCACTCTCTTTCTGTTGTCTCTCCCCGCTCCATTCGCTGAAAAGACTTGGCCTACCTTGCCATGCCGCCACACGCGTGTCAAACTCGGAAGCCATTGGCACCGACATGACACCAGTTGACTAAACAAATGTACACCGTAAACAAGAAGAAACTCGTACTTGGAAGTACATGTCTATTATTTTTTTGACAAGCCTTGTTTCGTTCCCGTTTGTTGTTCGTTTGTTGTTCTTGTCCTATGCATGCACCAAACGATCGATGGCGGGCCAACCAACAATCATCCGCTCTCGACAATCAGGTACACGGAGGGAGGGTTCCGCGTCAGCCCGTGGCTCGAGCTCCTCGACATAGGAAAGTGGGTGGCTCCGTCGAACGCTTTGCCCCCCGCCGCCGCCGCCGCCGCCGCCGCCGCCGCCGCCGCCCGCGCCGCGGGGACAGTGGGCGGTGCAAGCGAGTAGCGGCGAAATGATGGGTAACGCTGCAGCAGGAGGCCGGTGCGTGTCGGGAGGAGGAAGCCGCTGGGGGACCTATCCATTGGGCAACGGCCTGGTAGGGGGTCGGCAAGAGGGAGACGAGAGGGGGGGAAGGGGGCAACCTGGCTGGCACTGGCACGGTTTCTGTACGTTCCCTCTCGTCTCGGATCTCAAAACCTCCTTGCTTGCTATGCGGGAGGAAGAGAGTAGCGAGTCCGGATCGAGGTGGGGTGGTGTTTTGAAGATACTTGGTTTTGTTGAAGTTAGGTGTTTACTGCCCGTCCTCTACTTTGCTCCCTCACCGCGCCTTCCCGCCGATCCTTGATTCCGATGATTGTCAATGATTGTTCCTTGGTGGCGTTAGGAAAGAACGCTCTTGTGTAGCGGCTTCCCCAGGTATTTGCGTGTCGTGGAGGGTTTGCTCTTGAGGCGGTTACGGGCGGGGGGGGGGGCCTGCGTCTTGATGGCCCAAGGCCGTTTTGTTGTTTCACACAGCAAGAGGTCCAGGTTGTGCGTCCTCTTGTTCCTTCCCATAGAGCGTCTGTAATCGACCCACCAATCACCGTTGTAGTCATGCTTATGTCGATCGATCACCCCCTTTTTTCGTTAGCTTTACACTTTTACCACGCCGCCCGGTTGTGTAGTCTTCCCCAGCTTGCCCCCAACAACCCCCCACTCATGATGGGGAGAATGTTGATCTTGATATGTAGTAGAGATACATACGGGCAGGTCGCTACTGTGGCTGTTGGCATTCTAGAGAACCATTAGGGCCTTCGCCTCCCCCCCCCCACCTCCGCCATACACACATAAGAGACCCACTTCGAGTCATGGCTGACGGATTTTTTTTTTTTTGTGTGTTGACGCGTCGGCGTGGTCGCATTGTTCACGTAAAAGTAAAATCGTGTGTAGGAAAACCACCGCGACTTGCGCATCATCAAGGATCATGCTTTTTTTAGTCTAATAGTGTGCCGCGAGGGTTTTCTGGTCGTGTTGGCTATGCATACCTCCCCTGATTGGTGTGGGTAGGCATGAGGCTGTGGGCAGATCACTCGCAACATGTCTTTCGGGTGGCTTCTAAGGAAAAGGTCTCGGTTTGTACGTACAATGAAGTGGTACGTATCGACGGGGTGGTTATCAGTGCTTTGCTGAAATTGATTTTGTTCTTGTATACAGATACGTGTATGTAAGAGGAGGCGTGTTGACTTGCTTGAAAAGCCACGCTTTGGTTGGGACTACAATCAATCCCATATACCCGAATGAACGCTAGGCTCGGTGTTCGTTTTGTCTCTCGGTCGTGTGGAAGGACGGGCATCACCACCCCTGAAAATTTCGGCAGTCAATCCTTGTTTCCAGGAAAAAAATTAGTTGTACGACCCTGGGGGCGGGGTGAATCTCCCCCCCACCTCCCCCCTTCTGTGAAATGAAGTTTGGTTTTTGAAGGGGCGCGAGGTGCATGCGGTGAGTTATCCTTTTCGGTTCGATTATTCTTCCACCTGAACGAGTTGGTTTCGTTTTTGGATTATACATGGGTGGTGTACGGGGGGGTATTCTTGTAATTGGCGAGAGAGCGGAGGCAGACGGCTCGAAGGGCAGGCGGAAAGAAAGCAGTGCGTGTTGATCGCTTCGGCGGAAGGAGGTGTGATGGATGGAGTACATTTTATTGGTTCGGGCCCGATGGGGGCCTGGCACGGGGGTGATGTAACAACCCACCCCCAAACCCCAACGTGCGTTTTCATGTTTTCGGATTAGACGACGACTAAGTGTTGGCCTTCTCGACCCTCGCAGCCACAACCGAAAAGTGTCCCCTTGCTGAGATAGATGCGGTGTGTGTGCAGCAGGAATACTATTTAGCTAATGATAGCTTACTTTCTAATGGAAGAAGAAACGGTTTCACATAAAACACGTAGAAAAGGTTCGGAGGTAACGGAGAGAGAAAAGCTATTATAGTAGAATAGCGCCACACGTGTGCCAGTAGCAACTGCAGATGGTCTTTTAAGGGGGGGGGGAGGTATGGCAGTCACCGGAAGAGAGAGGTCGAACCGCAGCAGCAGCGAAATGCGTCAAGCCGCGTTCACTTGTACGTTAGGGGGCCGGTACCCGCACCGGATCGGTGCAGACAGGGCAGGTGCCCACCTACTACGGAGCGCGTTGGTGTTGTAGCTTTTGGGGGAGGAAGGCGAGAGAGAGAGAGAGAGAGAGAGAGGGAGAGAGAGAGAGGTGGTCATTGCTGGAGAAGGGTTTCACGAAGGCTGTTACTGTATTATTGTAGTCTTTGGCTGCCTTGCCGGACCGCCAACAGGAGAAGAACTCTGTGATTTGCAAACTTATGTGTCTTGCGGATGCTCTTGACTGTAGACAGCACAGCCACTACATATTGAAGCGACGCCCTGATGGCTGTTGCATCAACGTTTAACAAACATGAGATACGTACAAACGATGGATGATGAGACGCAAGCTTGGACACAACAACTTTAGCGCAGTCGTGCAAGAAAGGGCGCCCATGTAATTTACCTCTGCATGGTTAAAGCAAGCCCTTCCGTGAGTATACGCGGTATGGGTGAGCCTGGTGGAACACCCGTATGGCCTTCTCGCAACATCATCCACACACCTTTACCTACCAGGTCGGCCGTCAGTTTCTCTTCATGATTATCCAGGAGATGATGCGTACACACGGTACTACTGCTGAACATACCAACCCATCAGCCAACAACAGCCATCAGCAAACAATAATATGTTACCCGTTATGATTTGTTTGTTTAGGCACTATCTTTCGCAGCCTATCGGTACCGCGAAACCTAACCCAGAAGCAGAAAAAAGTCTAGAGGAAACCAACCTTGTTCGACCTTGTTCGTGGTCGTCACCACGCCATTCGAAGGCATCCCCCTGGATGATGAAGTGCGGAGGGGGGGGGTCTTGCGACGCGCCAATGTAGTCGAGGCAACACTGCTAGGCGAAAAAAAGCTTGTAGTGCACCATGCGTTTTCCCCGTCAACATCACAGTCCATCTATCGGGCGTCAAAGCGCCATCATCCCGACTGACGTTTTGCCACCCTCTCCCCGCAGGATTCGTGTCACAATCAACGAGTTGGGTGGATCCGTTCAATGCAAGTAATTGACACTGTGTATGTGTCGTATACATAGCTGAGTTTTACAGCCGCTGTTGCTGCTGTTGTGGCCACAGAGCAAGAATCAAACCAACTCGCGTCATCGTTAGCTCCTGCGGTCTGTCATGACCACAAGCCCCAAGCAAACATGCGGCGCGAACACACAACATTGCCGCACGCATTCGTTCGAAGCCCTCCCACAACCTTTTGCACACACGCACACAAACACACTTCCCCCAAACGAATCTGTCTCCTCCTGTATCGAAAACATATCGTACGCCCCATACCCCTATTTTCGCGTGAAAAACGAACGCGAGGCTTGCAGTCAGCCAGTCGCTCGCGACCAAGAAACAACAAGTTCGGTTGTTGCTATCGAAACGCGAAAGGCAGATATTAATAGCACCTCTTTTCTTCCACTCCAACGCCCGCCCGATCGATCTTCCCCGCTCCCCTGTAACAAGGTTGTAACCCACGACTTCCTTTAAGCCCACCAGGATCCAACCTCTATAACATCACACCACGAACGTGCTTACACACCGCTGCGGTACTCACCATGGAGTACCATAACCCATCACCCTGCTTTTATAAGGTACGCCCGTGGAAGCTTTCATTGTCGTTGTCCACAAATACGGCAGATACCCGCGCAACATTCGACAGTGCCCTGTTCGGCCATCTCGCATCTCGCTCGCACAATGAAAACACCAACGCACAGGCACACCGCTGCGGGCAATGGTCGTTTGCGCTTCGTGGATCTCGGTAGGGAAGCTATAAGCTCTACCCTACCAAGACAGCCATCACCCTCGCAAAATCGGTTCATGTGTGGTACAAGGGGCCGGGAAAAGGTTGATTCCAAGCGAGAAAAACAAGCACAAAACAACAGCAGGAAAAAACAACCACAACAAGTTGTGTGCCAAAGACGGACGTGGACGGCGATTGGGCATTGGGGGGAGAACAGGAGCGCAACACGCGCCCTTTCACGCGAAGGAAAGGGCTACCAAACGCCCCCCTCTTCCAAGAACAAGAAAAGGAGGAGCATCGTCTATTCGGTAACAATAATCAGCGTCACCTATTCTGAAAAACTAGCGTCGCCTATGCTCAAGAACCAGCGTCGAATGCCCTTGCTAATAGCAAACCCAGAGGCGACACCGGTTCCTCTCATAACCCAATCTTGTTTCCCGCAAGTCCTGCGCGATCCCGGCAAATGTGGGACGACAGCAGTCGCTCGCAGCTGCTGTGTGAAAGAGCCTTTTGTCCACAAACTGATCAGCTCAACCCCTTTCTTTCTTGATGCCCAGCGGCAGCGGCAAAATTCCTCTGCCGCTCTTCGCTGGAGGAACTTCTACAAGTGGCTGGCCTGTGCATCCGGGGGGGGGGGGGGGGGGGGGA